TTCATCTATATATCCACTTCCCAACTGGCATCCTCCCATAGCCCCCGCCAGAGCCCATATACTCTGTCACCTCTGTTACTGACCACTGTGTTGTCGGCGCCCCCAGCCATTCTCCAGTGCTTGTCCGTCTGCTGAATCTAGTCAGCCTATCTAGAGATCCTTGTTTTAGGAAGATCAGCTGTTCCTCATCTATCAGCAATCAGTTGTCAATATTCCTTTAGATAAGATTGGGGTATGCCGTTCATTTTCCCAGTTCTATGCTGGGTTATTGTCTGGGACTCTTCTGGGCCACACTGGCCAATAATTCAAAGGAAGGCATCTCCTGTCTGGCAGTTTTTCTTGCTATGTAGCCTTTAGATATACATTTGGATTCTTAAAAATTGTATTGGCCCATTAATATTTGGTTATACTTTCCTTTTGGGTGTTTAAGACTCTAAAATTGGCCCAGATAAACCAATTTATTTTTACTCTTAAGGTGGTTTGAGGATCAGTTCCTCAGGGGTAACATGGGCCTGGGAGGAGCGCCTGGCTTCTTTCTTCTACCAGTTCTGCCTATGTGAAGATAAGCGAAAGGTCCTGCTCGACCATGGCTGGCTTTGCTTGTAGACTGGACACTGGTTCAGATCCATCCAGTGGGGTCGCCACAGCCTCTTTGATCAAGAGGACAGGTGACTAACCACAGGTACAGGACATTTTGAAAGATGCTCATAGTCCCCTGGAACTTAGTCGACCTAGGAGGGCAAGGAGCAAAAACTGTCCTTTATGTCCCTCTGTCCAAAAAAATATAGGCCTCACAGTATGGCTGTTAAACATTCAAGAAGGCTAGTTCCACCAGACTGATACTTTTAAGTGCCATGTGCCATGTAGATACAGCTTGGGTAAAGACCAAACACTCCCAGATACACCTTGCCTAGACATATATTACATTCTTTGATCTGGTTGTGTGTATAATTTGTCAGTAGCTTGTTGGCCTAATATGGTTCCCTCTGGCTTTCTAAAACAAGCTAGGCATTGTTTATCTCTCACATTGTCTCACCCTTACACCATGGTTTCCCCATTTAAGGTGCCCCGGTTTTTCCCATTTCTCCCTTAATAATACCCTTCCCCTATGGTCCGACCTCTCTTGAGCTCCTTCTTTCTCTTTATCCCCTACATTCCTTGCATAACCTTCCCTCCCCCCTTTCCTTAAAATAACCCCATTTTTATCCATATATCCCTTGTGAACACCTGCTTCCTACTGTTCTTCTCTTTCAGATTCTTTCTTTTCCTTTATCTCCCTGGTTCCTTTTCATTATCCTGATTCCTGTAGTTATGTCTGAATACATAATCACTTATCAGGATTTGGTGCTAGGATCCACATATGAGGGATTTTTTTTCTGAGTTGATACTTCATTTAGTATGACAGTTTGTAGTTCCACCTATTCACTTGCAAATTTCATGATTTCATGTGTCTTTACTGCTGAGTAAAACTCCATCGTAAAAAAGAACTACATTTTCATTATCCACTCATCAGTTGAGGGACACTTAGGTTGCTTCCATCTCTTAGCTATTGTGAAAGGAGCAGCAACAAACATGAATGTACAAGTGTCTCAGCAATAGGCTTAGTTCTTTGGGTATATGCCTAGGAGTGGTATAACTGGGTCAAAGGGTAGGTTCATATGTAGCTTTTTAAGAGTTCTCCACACTGCTTTCCATAGGGGTTGAACAGGTTTGCAGCCCCACCAGCAGTGGCTGAGTGTTCCCCCTTCCCTGCATCCTCTCCAACATTTGGTATCATTTGTTCTCTTGATCTTAGCCAGTCTGACTGGGGTAAGGTGAAATCTTAAAGTGTTTTAAATTTGCATTTCGCTAATTACTAGTGACGTTGAACACCTTTTAAGATGCTTCTTAGCCATCTTTAGTTCTTCTTTTGAGAACTCTCTGTTCAGTTTTTTAGCCCATCTTTTAATTAAGTTACTTTCTTTCTTGATTATTTGTTTTTTGAGTGGTTATATATTCTGGATGTTAAACCTCTGTCAGATGTGTCGCTGGTGAAGATTTTCTCCCATTCTGTGGGTTTTCTCTTCACTTCCTTGGTTGCTTCTTTTGATATACAGAATCATACAGTTTAATGAGGTCCCATTTGTTGATTCTTGACCTTGTTTCCTGGGCAGTTGATGTCCGGTTTAGAAAATCCTTGCCTACACCTATATCTGTAGGTCATTGCCAATGTTTTCTTCTAACACTTTCAGAGTTTCAGGCTTCACTTTGAGGTCCTTCATCCATTTGGAGTTGACTTTTGTACAAGGTGAAAGATAGGGGTTTAGTTTCATTCTTCTACAGGTCGAGATCCAGTTTTGCCAGCACCATGTGCTGAACATGCTGTTTTTCCTCCAGTGAATATTTTGACCCCTTTGTCAAATATCAAGTAGCTGAAATTGAATGTTCTTATATTTTGACCTTCAATTTTGTTCCATTGATCTATGAGTCTATTTTTGTGGCAGTACCATCCTGTTTTTATGACTACAGCTCCGTAATACAGATTAATATCTGGTATAGTAACCCCCCCCAGCATTGTTCTTAGTGCTCAAGGTTGCTTTGGCTATCTAAATCTTAAGATTTTTTTTTCCAATTTTGTCCTGGATATTTTGATTGGCATTGGATTGAATCGATGAATATCTTTCGGTAAGATGGTCATTTTCACAATATTAATTCTTCCAATCCATGAGCATGGGAGGCCCTTCCATCTCCTGATGTCTTCCTCAATCTCTTTAAGGATTTAAAATTTTCATTGTAGAGGTCTTCAATGTCTTTAGTCAGGTTTATTCTGAGATATTTAATGTTTTTTTGCAGCTATTGTGAAGGGGAGTGTTTCCATGTACTCTTTCTCTGATTGCTTGTTATTGGTATATAGAAAGGCTTTTGTAGATTAATTTTGTATCCTGCTACTTTACTCAACGTGTTAATAATTTCTAGGAGTTTTCTGGTGGAATTTTTGGTGTCCCTTAGATATAATATATCACCTACACAAAGGGGTAATTTGTTCTCTTCTTTTCCAATTATTGCTCCTTCAATTTCTTTCTCTTGTCTTATTGCTCTAGCAAGACTTTCAAGTACTGTGTTAAAGAGGAGTGGAGATAGTGGATAGCCTTGTCTGGTTCTGGATTTCCCTGGGAATGCTTCCAGCTTTTCTCCATTTAGAGTGATGTTGGCTGTGGGTTTGTTATATATGGCTTTAATTATGTTGAGGTATGCTCCCTCCAGTCCAATTCCCTCTAGGAATTTGAACATAAATGCATGTTGAATTTTGTCAAAGGCCTTCTCTGCATCTGTTGAGATGACCATGTGGTTCTTGTCTTTGAGCCCATTTATGTGATTTATGATGTTTATTGACTTACATATATTGAACCATCCCTGCATCTCTGGAACAAAGCAAACTTGATCATGGTGGATGATCTTTTGGATGTGTGTCTGTATGCGGTTTGCAAGTATTTTGTTGAGAATTTTTGCATCTCTGTTCATTAGGATATGGGTCTATAGTTTTCTTTTGGGGTTGTATCTTACCTGGCTTTGGTATCAGAGTGATGCTGGCTTCATATAATGAATTTGGAAGTTCGCTCTTAACTTCTATCTTTTTTTAATAACTTAAGTAGTATTGGGTGTTGATCCTCTTTAAATATCTGGTAGAATTCTGCTGTAAATCCATCTGGTCCTGGGCTTTTTTTAGTAAGGAGGTTTGTTTCTACTGTTTCAATTTCCTTATGTGTTATGGGTCTGTTTAAGCTGTTAATCTCTTCTTGGTTTAGTTTTATTGGTTCCCATGTTTTTAGGTACCAGTTGATTTCTTTTAGGTTTTCAAATTTAGAAGCACTTGAATTTTTAAAGTATTCCATTATAATTTTCTGGATCTTTTTGGTGTCTGTTGTAATGTTTCCCCTTTCATCTCTTATTTTGTTGATTTAGAGGTACTCTTTCTTTCTTTTGTTTAACTGGGCTAGCAGTCTATCAATCTTGTTTATCTTCTCAAAGAACCAGCTCTTAGATTCGTTGATTCTTTGCGTTGTTGTCTTTCTTTCTATTTCAGTAATTTCTGCTCCAATTTTTGTTATTTCTCCTTGTCTGTTGGGTTTGGGTTTCATATGTTGTTGCTTTTCAAGTGTCTTGAGCTACAATGTTAAGTCATTAATTTGTGTTCTTTTCCGATTTTTAAAAAATATTTTGTTATTTTTATTTTATGTGTATGAGTGTGTTGCCTGAATGTGTGTGAGTGCATCCATGTCGTGCAATGCCACAGAGGTCAGAACAGGGCTTTGGATTCCCCTGGAACTTGAACTAAGGATGGTTCATAGCTGCCATGTGGGTCCTGGGAATCGAACCTGGGTCCTCTGCAAGAGCAGTCAGTACTCTTAACCGCTGTGCCATCTCTCCAGCCCCTTTCCGATTTTTTAATGTAGGCATTTAAAACTATAAACTTCCCTCATAGGACTGCTTTCAATGTGTCCCAGAGGGTTTGTTGTGCTGTATTGTCCTTTTCATTTAGTTCCAGGAATACTTTTATTTCTTTCTTAATTTCTCCTTTGACCCAGTCATCATTCAGGAGTGTGTTGTTTAATCTCCATGTGTTCATGTGATTACTGGGATTTCTTCTGGTGTTGATTTTAAGCTTTATTGCATTGTGGTCTGATAGAATGCATGGAATTTTTTTCAGTATTTCTGTATTTGTTGAGGTTTTTTTTGTGCCCCAGTACATGGTTGATTTTGGAGAAGGTTCCATGGGGTTCTGAATAGAAAGTATATTCTATGGTGCTTGGGTGGAATATTCGGTAGATGTCTGTTAGGTCCATTTGATATATACTGTTTAATTCAGATGTCTCTCCATTAATTCTCTGTCCTGTTGACCAATGTAATGGTGACAATGAGGTATTGAAGTCCACTACTATTAATGAGTTGGAGTTAATTTGGGCCTTAACTTCCCTTTAACAGTAAATAGAAAAGCAGGACAGAACAAAAAGGGAACAGGTCTACAGCGCCACAAAGCAAAGAGCGCTCAGAGACGTGTATCCAATCAGGGCGCTCTTCTCAAGCGTGCAGGGGACACGGTCAGGATGGAGCAGCTCCTAGTCCAGACGAACTTCAGGAGTATGAACAGGAGTTAGGTGGGGGAAGATACATTTTAACATTGTTGAACAATGCACAGTCAGTGACTGTTTCCCCGCTGCACTGACATCCATTGCCTGCCGACACCGTGGTGAGGACCCGCATGCGCCTGAGAGAAAAACTAGTTGGTGCATCACTGTCCACAAAAGTTTTATCTGAGTGACTTCATTTGCTCCTTATCCTTTTGGAGTCTACACTACGTTCAGCTTAAATGTTGATGTAGATTCAGTTCTCCTATCAGCTTCGCTGTGAGTGCCAAGTTGGACAACATGTTTCAGGAGGGAGTACACACTGAGATGAAGAAAAAGAACAAGACCTGAAATCTGAGACCAAAGAAATTAATCTGAGGGCAATTTACCGTTGTACATTAAACTATACAAGGCCTCTCTGGTGGCTTCCCGCCCTTTCCTGATTGGGGAAGGGCCACACCCACCCAGCTGAAGTTTGTGTTCAGGCTGCAGGTGCCTTGGGAGCACTGTGTGTCCACCGCACAGAAGTAAGTGCCTGAGTCTGTGGTTTGGGAGGAGGAGATGCGCAGGGAGCTGCGGCGTTCCTTAGCATCTGTCGTGGACTTTAGTCTTCCACTCTGCTTTGTTCCCGAGGGATTATAAAACAGGCTGATGAGGAGGCCCTGGGGATTCTGGTGAAACCACTGCAGGTTGGTAGGAGTGGAGGAAAAGTTGCACTGCAGCACAGAAGTGTCTCCCTCCTGGAGAGTCAAGGCTCCAGGACTCTGCACCACTTGCTGCCCTTTCACCCCTGATTGGAAGCAGAGAAAATCGCAGATGATGGTCATTCACTGCAGCACTCCCCCCCAGCCCATGTGCTTTGAAAAAGATGGCAATTCAGTTGATTTGTGGGCTGCTCCCCCCCATCCCCACCGCTTGTGCTGCAGCTGCACAGTTGTCACAGACGCCCTGAATGTGGGGCAGCCCAACTCACAGCAAACCTGGGTGCACAGAAGCCCCAGAACAGAGCCCAGCAGCCTCTTCATGATGTGTGTCTGGCTGTGAGAGATGGAACTATGTGTAACCAAAGCCTGGGCTGTGGTGTCAGGATGGCTCTAGGTCTGTCCCTATTTCTGAAGTCAGTCAGCTCCACCCATAGACCCTGCCAGGCCAGACACTGCTGAGCTCCCACAGCTTCCTGTGCCTGAAGCTCCCCTCAGCCCAGACCTGCATGACAGTCTGCTGAGAGGTGCACAGTGGAGGGACAGGGACATTTTCGGATGATCCTGGGCTCATAAGGGTTTGAGGAGCCCGTGAGGACAAAGTGGACCAGCTCCCTCTGAGGGGAACATGCCTCAACTGGACCAACGAAAGCTTCAGGAGCATCAGAGGAAAGTAGCTAAATGCTTAACTCAGAAAATAGCTGTTCCAACTAAAGAATCTTTATTGACCTGTGAATCAATTTAAATAAGAGACACTCCAGGAGACAAAGTAACAGGAACATAATTGTTCTGTAGCATAGATTTAATGAAGTCCTTTTCTTGGGATATGTGTATTAGGACACTTCTGCAATAATCCAGACTTGTGGGAAATATTGTGTGGAAAGACCTCATAAAGAGGAGGTGGAATGGAAAATCCAATCAAGGAGTCCGGAGTTACAGTTCAATGGGCACAAGAAGCTCTAGTACTTTGCTGTGCTGTAGGAACACTACCTGTAGCAATAACGTGTTGTCCATTCATAAAATTAGAAGAATGTATTTTAAAGTTTTCACCATTAAGATGATAGTTTGAGGAATGAGATTGATAATGTAAAGCAATTGCAGAGTTTGCCTGAAATAACCCACAGACAACTTTATGCCATCTAAGCCCATCACTGTTCTAAATGGTATTGGAGCGATCAGCTTCTCCAGTTTGTAGAGGTTCTTGTAGCCTAATTTTGGCATTGTTTTGACTTTTGGATAAGAATCCTGTCCTTCAAGAACCAGATATTTCCTTTGTGAAATAACAAACAAGGAGATAGCATCTAAAATCCTTCACTGCAAGAGTTAAGTGTCTCCCAAGATTCCACTTTCTCTGCATGCTGGCTTTCACAGAACATGCCAACCCTCTGAGTATAACTGAGGCTGGGATCCTGCTCGGCTGGGTGTCTTCTGTTCAGCTGTGCATTGTGTGACTCAGGGCACAGGAGCACTTGGCTGCCTCAGGTGGTTTGTGGTCAGCTCTGCACTGGGTGACTCAGGGCACAGGAGCACTGGGCTGCCTCACTCCCCTGATCAGAGTCTGCCCCTGGTGGAAGGAGTTTTCCTTCTTCCTCAGTCTGAAAGCTTTTAGTAGTTGATGTGTGCTTCAGGGGTTGCTGGAGACCTGGGCTAGGGTCTTATACATACAGAAATAGACACTGCGGGACAGAGATGAGTAGCAATCTCAGATAAAGAGCAGCTGCTGCACAGACAGTGACATCATCAGTGCAACATCAGTGCCGTGTGTTAACCCAACTTATAGGAGGGTCTGTGGTCTGAGTGAAAGCACACAGTGCTCCATCTGTGGAAAAGGGACTAATGGGAGAATGACACTCAGAGAGTCGTGGGGTGCTACAAGCCTCTGGGTGCACACCAAGGTTACGATAAGATAATATCTGAAGACTGCAAGGGTGGACAGAGGTTGTCTTGAGCTGAGGGGATTTAGATACCTTCTTGACAGGAACATTGGAAGAACTGTTAGGAAGAGACACCGTCCAGGCAATTAGCCTATGTCTGGCATCTGCTTAAAGTTTGTTCAGGTGGAACTCCTACTTAAGCAGCAGAGAGGAAGTTTTTATTTATTTTAAACTTAGTAATTTCATATGTGAAATACAATGTATGTATTTAGATCATACCGACCCTCTGCTTCCCCCCTCCAACTCCTCCAGCAATCCCCCATACTTCCCTCCCCATGATGAAACCAGGAAACTAGAAAAGGGTCATTATGGTGACCACAGAGCTTAAAGAGGGTATAGGATACTGTAACCCAGGTATCATTATGTTGGAAAGGGGAAGAAGGGACAAGTACTTAGGGAGGGAGATGGGAGGTAGGACTGAGAAGGAAGGTTTTGAAAATATTATTTTTATAGGTTTAAGAATTTCGTATAATGTATTTTGCTCATATTCAGAGGCCCCATCTACTCTCAGATCCCCCCCTACCTACCTACACCCACTTTCTTTTTTCCATTTTTTTTAGGGCTGCCAAGTCTGATTTGTATTCTCCAAATACTTTTAGGTGTGGATCCATCCCCTGATCCATCTCCTGGTCAACCTACCTGTATCACAGACATAGAAAAATGACTTTCTTTCCCCCAGCAGCTATCAATTGCCAACAGTTCCTCAGTTAGAATTGAGGTTTCTTGCCCACCTCCTGAGTCCATACTGTGATTTTGTATGACTTGGGCTCATAACAGTTTGAGCATGCTGTCGTATGTACTGTGGGTTCATATGTGCAACTGCCCTTCTGTACCCTGAAAGCACCATTTTCCTGTATTTACCCAGTACCACTCGTTCTTAGAGTCTTTCTGTCCCCTCTTCCAAAATGATCCTTGAGTCTTAGGAAGAGATAATGTCATATAGGTATGTACCATTTAGGCCCGAGCCCTCTGCAGTCTCTTGTTCTCTGTAATTTGGCCACTTGTCATTCTCTGTGTTAATCACCACCTGCTGCAAAAAGAAGCTTCTCCGGCAAGAGTTGAGAATGCACTAATCTATGGGGTTGACAGTAAGTCATCAGGAGTCCATTTAGTGCTACATCCATTTAGCAGAATAATAGTAATGGGTTCTGCCCTACAGCCTGATACCTGTGTAGGCTCTTGGCCCTGATAACAGTGCTGTCTTCTGAAGTAGGCCTCAAAACCAATCAGAAAGTGACTGGTTACTCCCATAGCATTCATGCCACTGTTGCACTAGTGGGTTTACCTTATCAAGGTAGTCATTGACTGTAGTTTGCAAGATTCACAGCTGGGTAAGACCGATGGTTAGTTTGCTCTTCTGGCCGCATGCAGAGCACCTTCCATCACTATGACCATTAGCCAGCAAAGACACAGCTTCGAGGTCAAGGTCAACTTGATCTGTCTGTTTTGTGACTCACATATGTAGTGTCTTCAGCAGCAGGGCCTTCTCATGAAGTTCTTTCAGGTAACCAAGAACAGTGGCAATAGCCAGTGTTGTTTGAGGGTCTATGGGACACCTGTGGTAAGCAAGTCCGAAAGAGGAAACTCGCTGCTGCTTCTGGGCTTTTACATGCGAGCCCATGGTGTCTGGTGGGGGCAACGTCCTCCCATTTCAGGGCAACTCCATTTAAACTCTTGTAACATCGTCTACAGTAGACTTTTTCAGATAGACCTTTAGTGTTAGCTAGTCCTCCTTCCTCTACCCTGCCTTACCATCCCGCACCCCACTTTACCCTTCATATATTATTGTTCCCCTTTCTCCCTTTATATCACTGTGTTCTATCTCAGTTCCCATGAAGTCCCTCTTCCATGGCTCCTACTAGTTTCATGATCTCTGTTGATTTTCAAATTGAAACATTCATGTCTAAATATTCAAAGCTAGCATCCACACATGAGAGAGAACATATGACATTTGTCTATCTGGGTCTGGGATACCTCACTCGGGATGATTGTTTTCCATTCCGTCCATTTACCTTTGTTTTCATATCTTCATTTCTTCAATAACTGAATAATATTTTATAGTGAAAATGTGCTTTTTCATTATCCATTCATCTGTTGGTGGTAGTTTCCATTTCCTGCTATTATTGTGAATAGAGCAGCAATGATCATAGATTCATAAGCATCTCTATAGTAAGCTATAGAGTCCTTTGCGCATATGCTCAAGAGTAGTATGACACATGATGGGTCTATTTTTAGCTTTTTAAGGAACCTACACTGATTTTCAAACGGCTCCACCAGTTCGCACTCCCACCAGCAGTGAATCAGTGTTCTTCTTTCATCACATCCTAGCCCACATTTGTCATCATTTGTGTTTTAGATCTTGGCCATTCTGAGTGGGGTGTGATGAAATCTCAGAGTAGTTTAAGTTTACATTTCCCTGATGGTTAAGGATGATGAACATTGTTTAAAATACTTCACAGTCATTTGCATTTCATCTTTTGAAAACTCCCTATTTAGTTGCTTTCATCAATTTTAAAAATATTTTTCATTTTGAGTTCTTTGCACGTTCTACATACTAACGTTCTGTCAGATGCGTATCTAGTACAGATGTTTTTCCCATTCTGTATGATGCCTTTTCATTTGAATCATGGTGTCAAATGTTTAAACTGGATAGCTACATGTAGAAAAATGAACTTATCTCTTACCCTGCACAAAACTCAATTCCAAATGCTTCAAGGACCTCAACATAAGACCTGATACAATGAATCTGGCAGAGGAGAAAAGTAGAGAATACACTGAACTTATACAGGGAGGAAAGAAATTTCTGAAAAGGTCCCAATAGCCCAGGTGCGAAGACTAGGAATTGACAGATTTTATTTTTTATTTTTTATGATTTTTTAAATTTTAAATATTTTATTTATTATTTTTGTTTTATGGGTATGAGTGTATTTCTTGAACCTATGTGCGTGCACCCATGTAGTGAAATACCATGGAGGTCAGAAGAGGGCTTTGGATTCCCCTGGAACTGGAGTTAAGGATGGCTCTTAGCCACCATGTGGATGCTGGGAATCAAACCTGGGTCCTCTGCAAGAGCAGTCAGTGCTCTTATTTGCTGAGCCATCTCTCCAGCCCTTAAAAATTTATTTTTTAGCTTATTCTAATCTGTGGAAAAACTATTTCCTCTGTAAACAACTGTGTTGTCTAGGGACCAAATTGAGAAATAAGAAATTTACAATTACAGTGAACTTCCCATTCTTAGATGCCCTTCTCAGGTTGAATTTCAAAGCATTGTGATCCTACACCAAGATAGAATTACGCTCTCTATGGTATAAAACCTGTGAAATTTATTTAAAAATAGGATTATAAAGTTATGAACTTAAAATGGACAATAATTTTTAGAGTATGAAAATTACAGCACCTTTATCAATTTTAAAACAAGCACTAGAAACAGCATAGTATTCAGAAAATTGCATGATACAATATTACTAAAGTTCTATAAAACATCACAATGAAACTTGAATAAAACTTCTGA